ACTGAAACTTTCTTGAGTATGAATAACTCCACTTGGTATTTTACGTGTACTCTTATGTGAACCAGTACGACCACATGAACCCTTTTTCGGTATATTTACAGTAAAATAAAGATTATAGATTATTTTCTTAAAAATAACATAGTCAAGTACCAAATTCAAAATTTAATCATTTGGTTGTGGGCAAGTACCAGAAAGAATATCGATGGCGGAATTACAGATGACCAAATGAGTTCGGCCCAGTAGGAACCGGTTATGGCCCGACGGTCCTTAACCGGTTACGGTTTTCATCCAAAAACAAGGCCCGACCAAGCTAAAGCTGGGACCAGTTATACATAGGCCCATTTGTTTTTAAAATAATTTTTATAAATTATGTATTAAGTATTTAAAAAATTCAAGTTTTTTTTTAATTATTTTTAACGTTTTTCAAAGATTTTGTAAGTGTTCAAATGCTAAATCTCAAAAATCATAATAATAAAAACAACTATAACATTTTTGTGTAAAAAAGATTAAAAAAGATTTAAAGTGTATTTTAATGATCCAATTAGAAATTTTAAAGTGTATTTCAATATATTGTTAATTTTTTTTCCAAACACTGTTCTTTTACGTTCAAAATTAAGTTTTGTAAAAAAAAAAAAAAAAAAAAAAAAAAACTGGAACCAGTTTGGACCCGACCTAGGACTTGTTCTCATAACAGGTTATGAATAACCTTAACTCTGCCTTGAATTTTTGGTCGGGACCAACACCGATTACACTAGAACCAGTTATGAATAACCTTAATCAGGTTTCTGATTTTTGGTCGAGACCAAAAACCAGTTATAGATAACCATTTTGAAACCGGAAACGCGATTTGGATCTAACCCAATTCCACCCAAGGCCGATTTTTAATAAGCTCTAATAGGAATGAATTAGCAAACAAAAACCCTCAAGGGGCCCAACTGAAATGTACACCAAGGGCTATAATTTGATGCCTGACACGTGGCAAATAATGAGTGGCAGGAGGTATGGGATTATATCTTGCTAGGGGTAAAGTTGGAAATATGGGGGAAAAGTAGGAAACCTTAAGTGATGTTATTTTGAACAAAAAGTCAAATTATGGTAAAGTGGAGGGTCATGTGTCTTCTGATGCTCTTCTTTGAAACTTGTCCCCCGCCTAAATAAAAATAAAAAAATTTATAAAATCATTATTTTATTTTATTAATTTAATAGCAAGTAAAGAAATGGAAGTATTTTAAAATTTATAAAATCATTATTTTTATTTTATTTATTTGAAAAGTAAAAAAATAAGCATAATTTTTTACATGATCAAGATTGATTAATAATTACGGTTTTAACTAGTCAAATATTGCGTCTTTGACTAATTAAGATTTGCGATTTTGATTGGTCAAATAAAAGATATAGAAATAGTTTCGTAACTTTTATCAATAGGAGACAAACAAGTGTATATGTGAACTCGTAATTCATATGTAAATCACACGGGTTCACGTATGTACTTGTTTTGCCGCCTATTTGTAAAAGTTACGAAACTACCTGACTATCTCTCTATCTTTGGTATGTCATTTGAGAAAATTATCCGATGCTTTGCAATCTAAATTTTGACTAGATTAATGACTAGGATCAGTTCTCAATTATTCAAATACTTACCACTTTTTAAATGAACATATATATATATATATATATATATATATATAGAGAGAAGGTTTACTTTGTAAACCACGTTATTTACACAAACCGTACAAACCTCATTCATTCAATAATAATTTTTTTTTTTTTGTAATTATGAGAGGTTGATTAATCATTTTTATTATGCAGGGTGTTAATAATGGATTTTATCATCTTCATTATATTAATTTTAGCGAAATACATGAAACAATTTCTTTAAAATTTCATAAATATTATATGAAACAATTTCATAACCATCGGTCATAGGTTGGTCCAAGCAGCAGTGCGGAATTTTCATTCTCGTCTGCTGGATCTGATCTATAGTTAGGAGGGCAATATATACCAAAAGGTGTACAAATATGAGTGGTTTGTATTTGATCATCCATGTCTGTGTGTGTATATATATATATGTATATTTGACATATAAATAATTCAAAAAATATATAAATATATTATCAATAAACATTGTTGTAAAAGTTTAGAAGCTATAAAACCATAAAAATTTAAGATTACGTGTATTTAGCAGTCAAAAGTGGTCGATTATCACCTCACAAGGCCCACAATCATGGGCTATTACAATAATTGTTGGGTGTGTGGGCCCACTAGAGAATCAATTTATCTTCTTGTTTTTCGGCTCATCGGCTGGCTGGCTGGCTGGCTAATTTTGATTTTTAGTTTTAAACTTGATTTGATTATGATCAAGTTTTTTTTTTTTTTTTTTTTTTTTTTAAGTATTTGTATACTTGTAGATACAAATTATATGGCAAAATACGCAACTCGTAATTCTACAAAATGCTGAAATATAATTTCTAAAATCATTTAAAGTTTTTTTTGGTAAATAATATGAAAAAATAAAATAAAAAATTATTGATGGTCACATCCCAACAAACTACAGCTTGCCAAACTATTGAGGATGGGTACATGTTGGTTGTTAGAAATGGGGGATTGTAGAATTCTTAATTGTTGTATTTTTTAATTATTATTTCATTATATGTTAATTATCAAACAAATTTAAAAAAAAAATGAAAACCATATTATAAATGTATAAATTTTAGTTATCGTATTTATAGTTTTATCGTAAAATCATCGTAATTTTTATATACTTAATTTGTTTGGTAATTAACGACTCGTATTAAACGTGGATTTAGAACTTGTGTCTTCACATCAACTCTGAAAGTGATGTCCCGAGAGTTTTTTGACATGACGATTTATTATATATCATTTTTTTTGACGTGTTTTCCAAGATTATCTTGAGCTTCAGAAAATTGATTGTGATTTCTTTCCTAACATTCAAATGGGCGGATGGCCATAGGGGCCCTTATGGGTCTTGGTCTCTGGGCTTTTTTTTATAGATAGAGTGAAGAATCTTCAGTTCATTAAGGTTTTAAGTATAAAATTCTTTTAGGTCTCTCCACTATTGTTGATCCGGTCCATTTGTGTTCCGCATCTGAACATTCACACGTGATTTTGCAACTCCGTAATATTTGAATATACAATATCAGTATAAAAATCGGTTTGTCAATTACTAAAATACAAAGGTGTACGATGTAAAATCAGATAAAACCAAAAACCAACATTTGCATTAATATGATCTAAAATAAATATATATCAATCTAACAATTTGATATGAATTATTCTACAAGATTTTATTGTATTAACGTAAGCAAACTGCACTAAAAAGAACGAAATTTATTTTAAATTGTATTTATCAAAGTATTTGGTGACTGATTTCATGTTCACCAAAATGTGAACGAAAACAAGTCATTTTGGTTAGTCTTAATGAGATTTTTTTAAAGTCCATTCTACAAAATTAAAAGTTTTGAAACCACATTTTCCTAATTAAAGATTTTGAAAATTAGGGGTGTTAAAAAAACTGTTGGACCGTTTAAACTGGTCGAACCAAGCCAAACCGAATTGCTTTTGACGGTTTGAGCGTTTGGTCCAAAAAATAGTCAAAGAGTTCGGTCTGGGCTCGTCTAGGGTTTGAACGGTCTGGACCAATCCGACATGTATTAATTACATTTATTTTCATATTGTAGGCTTAGGGCCTGTTTACTTGAGGCTTAATGAGCTTAGTGGATAAAATGGCTTATTCGCACAGACAAAATAGGCTGTTTACCTCGGGCTTATTCGCTCAGAAATGGGCTTATTCGCCCAGATGAAAATCCTTCCTTGTCCAGATTAAGCCGGCCAAAAGACTTGCCCTACCCTTATCCACCAACAGCACCTCTCTCTTCTCCATCGATCCAAAGAGAGGATTTAACTGGAAAGGATGTCTATTTCGTTTTCAACTTCATTCTCCGGCCAGATTCTGATGTGGGGTGTTTGTGAAAAGTTAACGAGACGAGGGCTATGGAGTTTGGAAAGGATGTCGATTTCGTTTTCAACTTCATTCTCCGGCACGGCGGATAGGGCGGAATGGTGGTTGTTTTGGTGTGAGGGTTTTTTGACGGCGACGAGACGACCACGACCGAGGAGTTTCTGGTCGGAGAAATTATTGGTGGCTGCTTCCAAATCGCTGTAGTCAAAGTGTTGAATTTTCTTGTGGATCAAATCTTCATTTCCATGGATTTTATCAGATTTCTTGGATGGATTATGAACAGCAATAGTGGATTCAGCTTTACAAGATAAATAGCCCATCCAAAATTCGTAAATTTTTGGTCTGATTGTTTTAGATATTATACATAAGGATCAAAAAGGAATGAAATTGGAAATAAGGCAGATAGGGGTAAATTAGTCATTTCTGTTATTCAGACTGTTGTTTCAGATAGAAAAGTAAACAACAACATAAATTTATCCAGACAGACAAATTTATCTAGACAGACAAATTTATCCATACAGGACTTAATAGAAAATTTGGTAAACAGCCCCTTAGCTTTTATGGATCAATTAAGAAAAGTACATCAAAGACATTATGCTTTTAATTTTCATTTCTTAATTGAAGGCATTATTTAAATTGTGAAATTTTTGACTTGAAATCCGTCAAAAATCAAATCCAAAATTCTAATCATCATTTGACTTTCTAAATATTCGTCCAAAACTCCAAATATTGTTAGTGAACTTGTTTTTATCTTTTTCTCCAATTCGATCAATGTTTTTTTAATTTCATAAATGAATCTTTTATATAATTCGGTATACTGTTTTTTTTTAATATTGTTGTATTGATTGAAATTTCATTTTGGATATAAATGTTATGTTTTTAAGTTTAGAGCTCGTAAGAGGCTCAAACCGCCTAAAACAGTCAGACTATATCGTTTTTTTGTCCGGTTTGTTTGGTCATTTTGTTGCCATTGCAGTTTGGTTTATGTGTTGATTCAATCCAATTTTCCAACAATGAAACAAATCGATTAAATCATTTTTCATGTGTTAAAACCAACACAAGCAAGGTTAAAAATTCAAAAGCCAACACAAAACAAATTCCATGTTAAGCAAATTGAAAATAAACTAATTGGATGGATAACTGAATGGTCATGAGAGGTTAATAGATGGGCCACAAGTTTCTTTATTTCAAATTGCTCAAATCTAAGATGGGCCAAAGCCCAAGATTATTGATGATTGATTTAGCCCAACTTTAACTTCTCAATCTCGTAACGTAAATCCAAAGATATTTGATGGAGTCCTGGACGGATAAACCCCACGTAAACGATTTCCCAGCGAGTCAACTCAGTCAAACTAGACTCACCGTTTCACCACGAACCTCCGACTCTCCGACCGCGTTGCTCGTTGCAGCTCCTCCATCCCCACCTTCGAGCATGTAAAAGCTAATTTATCCATTACACTCCAGCCATTCGCCACCGTATTCACCACGCTACACCACCTACATCCACCGCCATCGATAAACTCACAAACGATCACCTCTTCAGGTCGCGAAGAGATGTATATATACGCCATGTTTCCCCCCATTGACACATCGATGGAGGAAATCTGCAAATTTTGGCTCTTCAAATTCTCAACCAAACTCGCCGGCATCTCCCCGATTTCTTCAAATTCGAATGACTCACAGTTCACTTCCCACAGCTTAATACCGTCAACATCCTCAGCATCACCTAACATCCCAATCACAACCAGTTTGTCGTCGGAAAATCCGATCACCGAGTAAAAAACGCGGTCATCAGGACGCATATCGTACGGTCCAGACCACGTATCGTTATTTGGATTGAACGAGTGAGTTACACCGGAGCTTTTCTCCATAACGAAGAGATGAGAGTCGCCGGAAGCAACAGAGAGCCACAATGAAGAGGCGGATTGGTTGAAAGATTCAGGCATTGGATCCGATTTGGTCCATCGTTGTGATCGGAGATCATAAACCTCCACAGCGAGAGGATCGTCCTCAAAATCGTATGCACCGCCGGCAACCACCACATGTCCGCCAACGACGGCCACAACCGGATCTATCCTTGAGACCTTCGGCCCCGCCGCGTGGTGCCACGTCAGGTGGAGTGGATCAAAAGACAACGACAGCTTCGATTGCGACAACATGTAGAGAAGATTGGATTGAGATGATCGGAGTGTGGAGACGTAATGGATGGGCGGGTGAAGAATCTGGATCCAGACGTTTGACGCCGGGTCGTAGGCGTGTGTGGTTGTCGGGTACGGATGCCTGGAATTCTGAGTGTGTATGATCAGCCATGGCTTGGTGTTGTTGGAGACGAGAAGTGCTGACGACACGGCGGCATTCCATGATTTTGACACTCGGGATGCCGGAAGTAAGCGGATGAGTGGCAAGTGGGAGAGAACGGCCTCCAGTACATCGCCATGGATGGGTAGTTGTTCGTTGCAGGTATCCATATATCTATCTCAAAACCCTTAATCTATAAATCTGTATATAGAGGATTCTTTTTCTTGGATAGAGGAGATGAGGTGGCTTTTAATTGTCATCGGGGGGACCATGGAAAATGGAAAAAATGGTACCCCACAAGATATTACAAAATATGTTACGAAATTTTTTATAATTATTAGTTTTATTGGATAAGAAGAAATAAATGAAATTGCAACGTGATAAAAATCTTTGAACAACGAATGGTTCACATTATTCAAGCCCTACACTATTGAATTTGATGTGTGTATGAAAACGTTGCCTTCATTTATCCGTTTATTTTTCTTATAAAATTTTAAAAATACGCGGAAGACGCTTATAAATGCCAACAACTTATTTCATACCAAATCAACATAACAAAGTAGGATTTAAAGAGGATAAAATGTATCTTGGAGAGTAGAGGATATGGTTCCATAAAATACCTTCGACTTGTGCAAGTACACAAGCTAAAAAAAGAAAGGGGAACGAAGAGCCGAGAGCGTTAACTAGAAAACAATAAAAATAAGTAGAACAACCCCGTCTTGTGCAAGAGTGGGAACTAAATGCCGGGAACTCATTCATCATACTCGAATGTTTTAAAGGATCCAAGATCGCGAATACAAGTATTGTTGTAAATTGAACCCGCATATAATAGTTGAATCACAACCCTTTTATTAGCGCTTAACTTGAAAATCTCAACATTATAATGAAACAAAGTTAAAAGATTCTGATACGGTCCACCGAATTTAAGCCGCAACCGTGATGCACTCGATTGCTTGTTTGCATATTCCCGTCATCGTCGCCTCAGGCCCGTATACCTAAAACACAATTTATATATTTACTAACTCGCCCTTGAAAAGTAAACAAAACAAGTGCATTGTGAAGGCCAATAAGGTGTAGTGTAAGAAAAAGCCCGTAGCTCAGCCCTAAAAAACCCAGGCCTAGGCTTGAAAAAGCCTGATCGGGCCTATTTTCACACCCAAAGAGTGGGCTTGTGCATCTTTAGTCCTTTGTACCTCAATAGGGATGCCAAGTTCGGCTCCAAGTGCACGCATTCTTGCAAGTCCTCTTTGGTAATTTGGACCTCCTCTACGCACATAGATGTGCATGTTTGCAGCTTTCAATTTGGATTCCTACATCATTTATATAAAAAAAACCAACACCAAAAGGTCAGTTTTGCCCTTTCGGTTTAAGGTGGGATTTGAGTCTTGGAAATGAGCAAACGAGTCACCTTTTCCTTCATTGCACGAATGATGCCATTGAAGGTGGCTGCAACATCAGTGAAGTTGGCGATTCCACCTCCTACTACAAGCGCCCTCCTTTGACCATCAGGATCAGCAGTTGCACACTGAAATTTCAGAACGGAACTTTTATGTTTGATGCCATTGAAGCTAAAAAACGAGCCTCGTTCTCTGTTTTGGTATGTTCTAGGAAATAAAACCCATCTCTCTCGGACCTTTACTAATCCCATGAGGACCTTAAGATAGCAGTTGGGCCCGAGGAGACTTGAACCGACGACCTATAGGGAGGATCCCCAAGGCTTGGCATTTGTTTGCCGGTTGGGCGGACCCTTAACGTTAACCTTTCTTTCTTTTGTTTTCAATTAAATGGAGAAGCATAAAGATGCTACTTTTCTTTTTCGGATAGTTTTTCTGGACCCATCTCTGTTATCTTCATGTTATTTTCAAGTCACTTACATCAATGACAACTCGAGCATATTGCAGAACTTCCTCTTCGTTGGGTGCACCGCTATATTCTGCATAGTTTCCAAGCTCGGAAGCATAGCCAAGATCTCCAACAGTATCAGCATAGATAACACTTGCACCACCACCAGCAACCATGGTCCAAATTCGTCCTTTTGGATTAAGAACCGTGAACTTCAAAGATGCACTGGTCTGCAAGAAACAAGAAACAAGAAACAGAACAATAAGATCAAATCAAATTTCAAAACATATAACTTCAAAAAGTTCCGGGTAAAAACTTCCAAAATATAGTGTTCTTTCGGGGATTTTTGCAAGTATGACATACCTTCTCATCAAGTCCATGAATAAAGCTTTCAGTAGCACTCATAACTCTTCCAAAAGGCATCGGGAACTCGATACTGCCCCACCTGGGAAATTAGATGTGATGTTAGATAACAATACGAAGCTTCCATGTGCCGAAATGGTTGTGATTCTATCAACTTCTGTTATATTAAGGAAGAACCGAAAGAAGATGACAGCTATGGAAATCAAGAAGAAAGAAAGGAGTTGGTACTTTTTGAAGTTCTTGAAAGTAGCAGTGTCGTCAAGCTCGCCTCTCATATCAAGAGGGTAAGGCTTTCCATCTACCAGGGTGAATGGATTCATTTCTAGGAAAGTGAAGTAGAGATCTAAATACAAGAAAACACGAAGATCAGAGGTGGGTCTTGCTAGATTTACGAAATGTTCACATAGGTAGCAACGAGAATAGAGATTTCAAAAGCAAATATGATATTCACCTATGAATAGGGAGTATACATGTTGGATGAACTCCTCTATTACAGATTTAAACTGCATCATGGAAGAAATAATCATTAGAGATTCAAAATGCATAACTAATTACATATACAATTCTTGCAGATGATCAAACAAAATCTGAACAATCAGACACAAAACATAATAATCTCACCTCCAGTGGGAGGGTGGCAACAAGTGGAGCACATATCTCTTGATTCAATGACACCCCTGTGGGTAGAAAGATTGTCTTCACCTGTACATCCCAAAAAATTGTGATACTTACAACTCCAGATGTAAAAACAAAGGGCAATGAAGGAACAAGTACCAATCAAAACCAAACGACCCCAGTATATCCCACTGACAGGTGGGGTCCGGGGGTGGGATGTACGCAGGCCCGACCTTTACCCTCAAAGAGTAGAGCGGCTGTTTTTGTAAAGACTAATTGGCGATGAAGGAAGAAGTATATAATGCAAATACACCCATGTACCTGGTCCCAATTCTCTTCAATTTCGATTCCTCCACATTCTGAAAAGCTAATGCTACATCCTAACCGTTCAGAAACAATGTTGATATAGAACTCTTCGTGATGTGGAACAAATGGTTCGACAATGAATGTGGTTATGGGTCCTTTGCATCCTCCCATCACAATCTAACAAGTCAATAGAAGTTTTCTTAGTAAGCACATTCTAATATGTTAAATAAGGAGTATATAGAAACCGTGAAACAGATAAAGTATCTATGGATTCCGACACAGATGTCATCCTACTCAGACTCTCACTTAAACAACCCTCTTGCTTTAAGATCCACTCCTCAGAGAGTAACTAAAGTGAATTCTAGGACTTAAAAAGTGGTTTCCCTTTGGGTTTGGTTAAATGACCTTCTGACAGACTTTTTTAAATCCATGACCTCCTGACAAGTTTGGGAATGTCATTGCTTATCAGAAGAACGCCACAAAAATGTTTCATATCTATATTGAAGTTGAGAAGTAGTTCATTTGCCTCTCGGAATCAAACATGAACTCTTTTGCCAAACAGGGAGTGTGATGTATACAGCTCGAGTCCAACAAAGTTATAATAGAATGAAATGCTGTCGTAATTACCTCTTTGCCAAGACGCTCCTTTACGAATTCAGCAACTTGAGCCAAATCAAGATTTAAGGCAACAAGTCCACTCTTGCCACGCTTTCCGAACAACATGTCTGGTTTCACAACCAGCTTGGACGAAGAGAGCCATGGTTCCTTCTCTGCAAGCTCATTGAAATCGGTTGACTCTGTAACCTAATTTACCAAAAAGATACCGATTGATGAAGAATTGAATTATACTAATAAACAGAGAGTAAATCTATGGCATCCACCATTTCTTAACCTTAAACCCTCCATTGAAGTTTACTCATCACATTTTCAATGTTTACCATATCTGTTTTTACCCATTTCTCACACTTTTCACTAGCTTGAACAACTGATCTACTCTTTAAAAGCTGTCTTTTGTGTAGGTTTTAAACGGGCAGCCATAACTATTAAATCAATCTTAAAAGGCTATGTGGGTAAGGTAATTCGACATTGTAACTGTAAGAATTAGGGCACAAAAGATCTAAAAATTAAAAAATAAAGAAATTACTGTTTACCTGTGCAGATTTGATGGGCAATTCAGAACCAGATATCCTCTTAAAGTGCTCCTTAACCAACCTCTTTGAATCATACTCTCGGATCTTCTTGCGAGCCATTTTCGTTCCTCTAAAACCCTGTTCTTCCCCCCAAAAGAAACACAATAGATCTCAACTCAGATCAACATCACCCACATCATATTACTGGAAAGATTCAAACTTTTTGAAGATTTGGATTGAGTTAAGAAAAGCCCAGATCATAAATTGGCGTAGAATCGAATGATGATCGATGAAATTTAAAACTTACCGGTGAGAGATGGATGGAAAAAGGCTGTGTTGTTGTTGCTTGAAAGATGTAATGCAACCAATACTCAGAATGTTCAACCAACACACCTGCCAATTTATAGTTGAATTTGGTGGGGGGTTTTAAATTATTTAATTAATTAAATATGTTGACAAAATTGGGCATCCCTTTTAGCGGGAAGAGGAGCAGTTACTTGACGAAGTCGATGATCTCTACCACCCAACTGACACCTCACACCCACAAGTCAAATTTGGTAAAACTTGTACCACAACATAATTATATAAAATATACATAATTTATTTATCATAATATAAAATTAAAATATTAGGTTTTCTTAAATATATCGTGTCTATGGCTGAAAAATACATTAAAAGGGGTTGAATATTATCTAATTTAATATATATATATATTTTATTTTGAATTGGAATTTTCTGGACCACAATTCACATGTGAATTTTACTCTTGAGTATTGCACTCACAAGAAGAGTCAATAAAGGAACACAATAGTAATACCGCTCGTATTTGACTAATTTTATGTGTATAATGTTATGCTTCGCAAATTTTATATCGTGAAAATTATTATTATTAAATATTGTTTGATATGATTTTTGAAAATTTTATTAAAATAATTATTTTAAGATTGGTTTCACCTCTTAGTTATTTTCTCTCCAAGTTTACCAAAATAACTATAAGTTTGCAAAATCCATGTCTGTAATTGTAGACCCAGCTAAAAGTTCAATTATTTTTATACTTTCTACCCTTATATGTAAATATTCTTATATTTTTCAACCTAGGTCCACAAAAAATATTACATTTATCATACAGCTCTACAAACAAAAAATTAAAATTGCAGACCTAGGGCTATTTTTGTATACCTTGTAAAGAAGTGGCTAAGACATGAAAGCAATTGGTAAAAATGACTATTTTAATTAATTTTCGTTAACTTTTTTTATGTGGGTATGTAATTTGATGTATTGATTAATATATATTTATTTTATAATATGTTTGTTTCATATGTATTTGGTTTATAATGTTAAACTTTTAGTTATATTTCATGTTTGACAAACACAAAAAAATGTTCAAATTGTGATCAAAATATATGTGAAACAAATATATATTAATTCTAAGTCATAGATGGAGAAAATTATCATGTGAAATAGCACATGATGCATTAAAAAACGGAGGAAAAACCTGGTCGTAGGGGTCAGAGTCCCCCAACAAAAGAGGTCCAAGAAGCTTTAAAAAAAGTTTAATGACATTTCCTATTGGCCCCAATAAAAAATTGCCAAGGGCTCTCGAGCTGATGATAAAGCCTACTTTTTAATACGTCCGACATAAATACTAGTTTAAGTCTCATCTTTGACTCTCAGCCGATAGCTCTTAAAGACTCAAAAGAACGACGACCAATTTCGTGGTTCACCATTCATTCACTCACAATCGGCCATTGACAACTCGACGGATCGACCATTCATCATCAACTGTAACTTTAAATTCCAGCTTCATCTCTTATCTCAATTGACGCATCGACCATGGGCTCACTCACTCTCAATCAACCACCGTCTCCACTCTCTCGACTATGTCTGAAATTGATTTTGTCTTCGGTCTCTTGGTTCTCCTTCTCCATCTCAGTTTTTGGCTATAGATAAAATACTAAAACACTTATTGCTTTTGATTTCTAATCCCGATTTCTGATTTATGAATTAATCTGATTTTGTCGGATTCAAAACTTCAGATTTTTGGATAAATATGGTAAATTGTATTAGTTGGTAAACGGTAGTATTATGTTGGTTTTGTAAAAGTGTAGAGTAGTATTATGTTGGTTTTGTAGAAGTGTAGAATTCTATAGACTGCAATGTACATTTTTGTTTAGAAATATGTTGACTGCAATTTATAGTTTTTGTTTATAATCTGTAGACTGTAATGTACAATTTTGTTAGAATCTAGATACTGCAAATGTACAATTTTTATTTAGAATCAGTATCATTGATATGTTATTGGTATATTGATTTTTATCTTCCTATAATGGTTTGTTTCTCTAGCCTTCTGGTTCACTTTTAGTTGACTTTTGTATTAACGTGTAATGTATAATGTATTTATTTGCTTTAAGTTTAAACGAAATAAAAAATATATAAAAGTAGTATAATGTCCCGATTTAGCCGAAATAGTAAAAAGTTAAGCGAAAACTGAACTGAATAAGTTCTCTTTATTCAGTTAACCGAGTCGTTCAAGCTGAAAACGAGTAATCCAAAACTGTTTTTGGTTCGGTTTCAAAAGTTTTTGACACCCCTAAGTGTGTCACCAAGCAAAAAAGTTTCTAGATCTGCCACTGACACTAATTTTCAAAGTTATCATAATTTTATAAATTCTCAAATGAAGGTTCCCACACTACAACTAAATATGATGATATTATTATATAATTTAATCAAATATTTGAATGATGATCAGATATTTATGACAAATATTAAATAGAAAACCTACGGTTTTAATTTACTCGACTCTTGATTACTGTTACTGAATAAGAGACTCCTAATTAGTAAGAAACAATATCGTTAACCAAAATAAAACTTTTCTTCTTAACAAGAAAATGTCAGGTATTATCTCCTTATTGCATCTTGTTGTTAAAAACATTTACTAATCTCACATTGCAAAATAAATGTTTGTGTATCGTCTGGTACATAGTTTAACCGAAAGGAGCTTTTTGAAAGTTAACATCATTTACTAAAAAACCCAACAAAATTACAGTAAAAAAGGGAGTCCACTGCAAGCAGAACCAACGAAGAGAAACGTAATAAAGATACTGTAGCAACCCACCAAACTAAAGAAAACAGACAAAAAAGAGCATAAATTGAAAAAACCAAGAAGACTACACAGAAACTACAAACAATCCAACCAAAACATAATCAACAGAGAGAAACAAAGAGCTTATCCGGAAGTCTGGTTAGGAGAGAAATTCCAACAGTCTCGAGGGATAAAATCTTTACAAGATATTCTCGAAATCCAATCATACACTCGAACCCGTATTTCGGCACCCACAAATATTTTATAAGGGTCGAGTCCCTATCCTTCTATTCTTAATGAAAATTTAACCAACAAAAAATTAATAACGTAATAAAACCTATATTTAAAAAAACTATTTTATAATTAAAGAAAATACTTGAATTATTTTTGTTCGTACTTTTAAAAAATGACGTGCTTAGCAGGTGGCTCAACCCACCCCCTCGTGTTTATTTCGATTACAATTTTTGTAGGTTTATTAATTTTAAAAATAAGTCAAAATATATTTATTTTAATAAAGGTTATTAAAGAAAAATAAGGTGGCACATGAATGTGTGAAGAAAACGTTTTAGGGGTGGAGCATATGACACGTGGGTGTAGTAAATCATGTCTCACGTTTTCTAATTATGGAATCAGAAAATCTATGATTACAAATTGTTTTTATTTTAGAGGAAAATACTTGTATTTTTAAATATTTATATTATTACAAATTAGAAGGGAATGACCATATTTGCCAACATTTTTATGACAAGATTGTCAATACACATAATTTTACTTGAGGGTAGTTTATCAAACGATAAAAGTTATTACTATCATTTATTTTATAAAGTAATATTTTTTATTATCAAAATAGATTGATGGTAAACATTTATAACCTAATAAACATCAAGGTTCAAAATAGTGTGAGGCATGTCGTGACGACAAAGTTTTTGCACGTCACAGCGAGAACACGTTGTTTTTCAAGGCGTGACACAAAACGATAAATTTCTATATTATATTTAGAATTATATATTTATATATATGTTTTCTATATATTTATCTAATCAGTGATATTAAAAAACGTACATTCATATTAAAAGAAGAAAAATTATATAAATTATTATTATAAAAATAGCTTTTGATTAAATCTTTAAAATAGAACTTATAAAAGTAATCTTATAACTTCGTTTTAATGGTGAGTTAATAACTGTTTATTGTAAGTGATGCGATTAGATATATCTATAAAAATGTAAAATCTAAAATTAAAAATTGTAAAAGCACAAAAGATAAAAAGAACCAAAAAACCATTAAAAATGACATCTTATAAAAACGCACGCCGAGCATGCCTCAGGGCACCATGGCATGAGCCACACGTTACACAAACGCTATGGACCATTTCATAATGGCGGAGACACAACACTCCTTTTTGAACACTGGTAAACGTTTACCGGGTAAGAATCTATCACCTTACTTACCGAGTAAAAGTCTTGGTTCTTACCTTTCCTTATATCGGGTAAGATTTTCGATCTTTGTTATGTTCACCTAGTAAATGTTTAGTAAACGACGACCCATAATATACATAGGTATGCACACGTATGTATACTATAAATTCAATTTCCTCACGAAAATGATGTGTATACAACTCTTAATGTTTCCAAAAAGGGAAGAAAAAAAAAGGCAAATTAGTAGCCATAAAACCTACAATATCTTTATAACCATTATCTTTTTTTGCCATAAAATTTAGAAAAACAAAAGATTGATTGTATATCCATGATTTAAATTTACAATGAAAAATAAATATATAAATAACCAATATTTTCTTTACTCCAATTCGACTTCATACATTTATCATTAAATAGGTCCTATTTATAACATAAGGAAAAAAGGTAAAAACAAACGCTGGAATAATTGTTTGAAAATGTAAAACCCACCAAACAGACAAGAAAAAAAATGTAAAATGGTTAGTTTGTGAAGTTAGCTCAACCGACAATAAGGCTCAGGTCTTTTAGGATTCTCGTGTCACTGGTTCAAGTCCTCCAAGGCCAGTGGGAATTTTCCTGATTGTTCTCCAGAACCCTTGGGATTAGCAAAGGTCTGCTGAAGCTGACCCGGACAGCCACGATTTAGAAAAAAATGAAAATGGTAGCCTTTTGGCATAGCCAAAACATAGAAATCCATATCAAAGTACAAGTTCTTTTTGCATCAGGTACAAGTCGATAAAACTATGTTGATCTGGGTTTGTGAAGATAGAAAATTTACCAAGAATCAGAATACATCCTGGTGAGTTTCTAAGAACAGAGGATCTAACCTTAAGGATTTTGTTAAAATGGTTGAGTTATTGCTATATCATATCATGCTTCATGTGTCCCAGAAAATCTTGACAATAAAAGTTGCTTTCCCCTAACTATGAGTGCAAAGATGCCAAAGGAAGGAAGATGAATCAATCCCACTCCTAAATACCTGCAAATAATCACACAAATCTTACATAAATAGTTGTACAATGTGAACAAATATGTTATCTAGCTTCATGATTCTATCAAATTATGAGTCACAAATATGTTCGTCATCACACATATTAAAGGTTCTTGACGTAATGGCAGATACCCAGAAGTTGAGTGGAAACCGATAATGTATCATAGATAATTCCCTTTTTGGGATGTGCCAAGACAAATGCAAAACTTCATTTTTTGAAAAAATTGAATAATCTCTTTGCTCATTAGTAATCATTTTGATATATATTAATGGCATTGATTCAAACTACAAGATTCAGTACTTATATTTGACTAATAGTCAAACATGGCATAATAAAAATTGTATTTACATTTTTTTGTTAACCATGGGTGTCCGGGCCAGTTAGGGCCTTGGAGAATAGCCGGGAAAATCCCAGTGGAATTGCAGGACTCGGACCAGTGACCTCCGAGGAGGATCCTCAAAGGCCCAAGCCTTACTGCCAGTTGAGCTAACCCCACAAGATTTTGTCGTATTTACATTGAGATAGTGGTGTATGTCATTCCTCCCTTTGTTCAAAAAAAAGCTTAGAGAGAAGCCATATAACAATGGAAGAACAAATTCAGAGAGACATACCAGATGGGAGCATATGAAGATGATAAATCAAGGAAGGGATATGGCCACCTGCAACATCAAGAACCATCTAAAATGTATAAACAAGCACATGCTACTTTATAAATTAGATAGCTTTGTAGATTAAGCACTCTATGATGAATCATAAGCGGTTTTCAAGTAGTTATGTCCATAGTTTATTGGAAAGGTATTATGTGAAAGTTTTCCCATGAGGTACAATGATCATTGTAATATATATAAAAGCAAGATCTCAGCTTACCACATTGATACGCAAGCATGAACGATCCACTGGAAAATGACAAATACACATGTCCATAAAACAAAATATGCCAAACGAAAGAAAGGGAACCGCTGACAAAAAAAATTCAATTCAGTCAAGTCAAAAAGCATAGAGCTTGCAATAAGAAAAGCTCACACACAATACACAATTGTATAACACACAATACAGTAATCGAGATGGAATACAAGTCTGTAGCACACAACTTACCAGGCGATTCAGAGCCACATCGACAAGGAGGAGAACAGCATTGATAGAATGCATACTAACATCCAACTGTATTGGAAAGGACAAAAGTACCCTCAAAATGATATAAAATAAATGAGGGAAAAATGTATAACTCTACCCCTAGGGGTTGTATGCTCTCATACATCATACCCTCCCCGGACCAACCTTTGGGTGGGATATACTAGGTCCATTTGGTTTAGTTTGGTATTTAGGGAATCATTGTATAAGCTCATAGGAAATAAATTTATATATTTAAAGTGAAGCCTAAATGCAAAAAAGAACGCAAAAACTTACGAAATTTAAACTGTAGGATGAAGGAGTAAGAAATGGATAAATTATGAACCAAAACACACTATCCGTGAGTCCAACAGCGCCTGCAGATATCTGTGTATTAAGAGAGAGAGAGAGTGAGGAAGGATTTTAACGGAATTCTAATGAAAATAACACTAATAGAAACACTATACTTGAAAAACTCACCTGGAAGACTATTTGAAAGAAATATCCCCATATACCAGCAGCCTTTCTAACATGTGTTTCACCTTGATTGCTCAGGTTAATGGGCATACTATGGGAATTCAACCCCTCTGAGGGAGCCATGTAAGTTCCTCGTTCTGTGTCTAAAATGGCGTGACTGATATTATTGTCACCAACTCCATTCCAATATTGGTAACACCCATAGATGGAGAGTGAAGACGCAAGCTACAGAAAGTAGATGGACATGAGCACGAAAAAAGATTCAGAATCGAAGGAAACAGTTAAATGTCATAGCTCAAGCTCAGTAGTATGATTGGTATCTTACTGTGGTTGGAGAACCGGGTCAAATGACATTTTGCGTCTATCGTAAAAGATAAGCAATGCAATACAACTCAATCAGTCCAAAAGGTTTCAGGAAAGTGCTGAAGATAATGAATATGCAAGAAAAGTCTCATTTTTGTCGATTTTTTTAGCCTTCTTAAAGAACATGTTTACTACAACAAATGATATAGAACAAACAAATGTTTAAAAAAACTAACAGATATAATTAGCAACATTTCATACCCCAAAATAGAAAGTGACCAAAGCAAATGTCCACCTGTTCATCACCAGAAACATCACAAAAGAAAAGGATCTTTGAGAAAAAATGTTTTGAATTCAACATCATAAGATCACTCTGTAGGCCTTGCATGAATCAAAGATGAAACATAAAGGGTCTGAAAAAACTTACTGGGTGTAAAAGAAAAGTATGTCGGCTCCATCAAGAATCAGGTTAGCAATAAGCAAAGCCAACATCACACCAAATGCAATTAATCTGTAAACAAGCAGCCAAGCAGGATGGAGTGCTTTCAAAGAGGTCGTCCAAGTTTCATCCTCATACAAAATCCCAATCGGTTCCACATCATGCTCGCGGTCTTTTACACGACTTGTCTTTTTGCTGAACACTTCGTATTTGATTACTAAGGTTGTTGCTGCTATCATAGCAATCAAGATCCATAACGCACATAGAAAGAACCTCCAGTTCAACCAGTAACCCAGGGCTGTTGTATCATCAGCCATTAGTGGTCCCAATTAAGTTGCAGCTCCTATTTGAAAACCTTCACTGTTATATCTTTTAGCTTGAAGCTAGGTGTAACATGATTATTCCCAAATTAGTTCCATTAAGCTGCTACCATAAACTAGAAATTTATTTCCCCAAATGGTAAATTTCATTAGATGACATGATGAAACAGCTAAATCTAATTCGAGTATGACTTGAACAGGGACTTGAAATGATCATCAGAGAGTGAAAAAAAGGTCAAAACGTATGGTCCAAAAGAGGATTTGCCAGAAAAATGATGATTGCAACTTGAAATAGTTTTGACAAAACTGATTGCGATGATTTCATGATATTTGAAAGTCAATATAAGAAGGAATGATCGCTCCAAAAAAGGATAAATTTACAATTACGATGATTATGATTTTCAACAGTATGAAATTCGTGATCGAAAGTGGTTCACGAATGAATTAAATGATATGAAGCTAAAAAGAGCAGACATTAGTGGTTGTGGAGTTACCTGTGTCAATCGATGACTATGATTCTATCAAGTTTCTGGTGTGACCGCTGATGAGGAACAAGCAAAAAGATTTAGGGTTTGAACGGAAACTGGCATTAACAAGGAAGAAGAAAACAAGTAGAATTGAACACCAACCGCAACCTCGGCCTATCGTTGTCAATTGATGTCGACATCTTCACCGTGTACTCTACGGCTCTACGGTCTACACGATTCCACCCAAGAAGAAGGTGTTTTTTCATTAACAAATCCATTAATCCATTATGTAAGTCGACTAATCCCAACACAATTAGTCTGGAGTCATGGTATTTAACCTCCATTCTTATTTTTCTTTCAATTTAAACCTAAAATTTTTAAATACTTTTGACATTTAAAATCAAACTTAAACCAACCAGACACATTTTATGATTAGAAAAAAAGGTGTTTGATATCAAAAACCATGTATGGTTAACAATGATTATTAAAATATAAAAACATAATGAATTGATTATCATTTTTATTTAAATAAATAAATAAATTTGTAGATCAGGAACCGCATTCCATATGCTATTTTAGCGATTTATATTTGTAATAGAATGGCAATTTTAGACAAAGCATATGTCACGTAGGGTCGTTTTTCATTTACATCACTGGCTTTTAAAACTAGAGATTTCATTTTACATTTTCGTAACAAGAAAGACCAACTGAATCAACAGCTCCAATGAAGCCCATTGATTGATCGATTACTGCAATTATATATACACCCACGTCGGATCCAACCCTTCTCATCATCATCTTCGATTACGGTTTGGCCTCCATTCGTCACCATCACCGAGCTGCTCTGCTAGAAAATCAACAGGCAATGATCCTGGAGGAGCCGACTTCTCGCTCAAATCACCATATTCGTCATCCGAGCCTTCATCATCGAAGTCGCTCTCATCTTCGCTGTAATCCTCTTCTTCAGGATCATCACTTTTCTCTTCGTTTGACATGATTACAGCATCATATGTATGCTCCGCCACCTGTGAAACCGTCTCAAATTCCTCGACCACCTCCAAAAGATCATCGGGCCCCACCCCAATATCTTCCAGCACCATTGCCTTGTTCAACTCGATGGCTCGCCTCCATAACGACATTATTCTCGGGCTTGAAACCACTGTTCTTGATTCCGATTTGTAAGAGCCATCTTCGATGTTTTCTGATGCAAGAAAGAAAATGAATGATCAAACTAATCAAAAGTTTCACAAATGCAACCAAACCAAACAAGCCCAATATCTTGTTTTTGTTAACCATGGGTGTCCGGGCCTGTTTCATCTCCACTAATCCCAATTCCCAAGGGCCTCAAGAACAGCCAGGAAAATCCCCAATGGCTTTACAGGACTTGAGTTGGTGACCTTGAGGAGGATGCCCAAAAGCCCAAGTCTTGTTACCAATTGAGCTAATCCTACAAGGTTAACAATATATCCCACACAAAGTCGGGTGGGTTGGGGG